GTCAAGAATTGGGACCAGCTCACAAACAAGGTAGTGACGTGGTTAATGAATATATCATCAGACTCAGATTTCACAAAACAGTAACATTTAACAAATTTTATACGTAAACTTTTTGTTTTCTTGGTTCTTTTTGCATCTGATTCAAGTCTATGTCCCATTGCCTAGCATGGTACCTGTACAGAAAAGGCACTTAGTAGTATCTGCTGAATGTACCTGAATGAAGGACACGCTGACTGAGGCAAATGGGGGAAGACAGTGGGCTCCACTCAGTGACAAAGGCTGCCGCCTGCACAGCTGAGTCTCCTGTCAGCTACCTAGACTCTAACCTAGCCAACCATGCTCCTGCCTGGAGCCTTTCCCCAAATCCCTCTGAACCCCCTTGACCCCTACCACCAACCCCCCGATTTAGAGTGTTCTTCTCTTTGCTGCCAGACAGGTAAGGAGTCCCCTGGCGATGTGCAATGCAGTTCCACCCGGGACTTCAGACACTTGCTTCTCTAGAGAGACAGTGGCCAATAGGAGACAGTGTCTAATCCTTTAAACAGATCATTGACTGCCTTTGACCCTTGGGGCCCTGCAAAGGAGCCGGGAGAGGAATAAGGTGGAGTCTGCCCTCTCCCAAAGCTCTCAGTCCTGAGGATAAAACGGGCTCTTCTCAAGCAAGCTGTGTGCCAGGCACACAGGTGGCACAGATAAGGAACCATGTCTGAGAATAAAAAAAAATCACTTTGGATTGAAAATTTGCTAAAGTACCAAGGAAGAGGTGGCATCTGAGCTGGTCCCTGAAGAAAGGAGACAAACCCATCAACAGGCAGGGGTGAGATAGGGCCCAGCCAGGAGACCCGTGCCCCTGTCCTCCATAAACCAGGCCGGCCTGTTCCTCTCACTGCGGTAGCACAAAGCAGAGCGGCTCCTGGTTAACAAAGGCTGCCTCGTCCAGCACCCTCCCTCTCCTGGGCTGTGCTCATGATCTTTGTGGGGTCAGTGGGCATCCTGGCCAGGAACCTGGGGAAGCTGGGTAATCTCCTTGTTGGTAGTCTGAGGATAAGACATTTCACCCTTTTGAACCCTAGAGGCCTCCTCTATGAAATGAAAATGGTACACTGCCTTACATGGTAACTGAGGCTCAAAGGAAATGGGGCCCAGGAATGCAAGGTCGAGATCAACCGGGGTGGGGGGGAGGGGCAGTAAATTTCCCTCTGTTCCTGAAGCATAGGCAATAAGTATTCTCTAAACCCGCCCAGCAGCCTCACTGATGGATGCCACCAGTCACCAGGGAGTCTGGGCACAAGGATGGGTGGATGGCCTGGTGCCGTCTCAGCCTTCCTGCCGCGTTCAGACATGCCTATAGACGGGTCTCAGCATCAAAGGTCCTGAAACCCGGTTTAGGGGCTGGGTTAGTGGCCCTCCTGCCACACCCTCCAGCCAAGCACTCATTATACAGTATTATAATGATGGTTTAGGAGACTATTAGGCTATTTAAGAGTAGAGGTGTTTTATATGTCTGTTTTCTACTAAAGTGCTTAGTACTTAGTGCAGACCTCGAAATGTTTGTCCAGTGACCAAATAAGTGTACTACCCTTCCAAGCCACTAGCCCATCCAAGTTACCGTTGTTTGAGCCTCTCGCTCTGCCTTGGTAAATAAGAACCAAGTTTCCCAGTCTGCGTGTGGTCCTGCTGTAAGGCCACCCACTGGCAGTTACAATGACCTTAGCAGCCCAAGCAGCAGCAACCTCCCGGGTCTGGTCTTCGATGCCAGCGTGGGACAGGCCCAGGACTCATTTCTGAGTCCCTGAAGGCACCTTTCCTGCCTGTAGTGTAAGCAGACAAAGTATATCATTCAGTGACACTAAAATAAGCAGATCACACAAGGAGGAAAAAAAAATAGCATAAAAAAAACCCCACCCTACAAGTAAACATGGCCGAATGTTTGAACCAGTGTGACCGTGACCGTGACATTAGCAGAGGCCCAGAGAGCAGAAAACTTAAGACTGACTCTTTCAAAGGTCTCTGCCCATTCTACGTGGTCCTACCTCCACACCTGCTGGGCTGTGTCCTCACTGGCCACCACTCTCTGCCCCTTCCCCCCAATCCACAATCATATTTTCAAAGTGTCTCCTAGATAGATGCATTTCTCCACACCCGAGGCCCCACTTTCAAAGCCTCACTGGTCTGTGGCTAGGGGTAAATCATAGCTACACCCCGCCACTCCCAGCAGATATTCCTGTTATCACTCAGGAATAAAATCAACAGCATCTCACAAAGCTAGTCTGAGGACTAAATGAGATAAAATGTGACACTCTGGCACACAGTTGGACATGTATGTGCTTCTGCCTCTCCTTCCCCAATCGCTATGTCTCTGCACGCAAACCACCTCACGGTCTGCCCCACCCGGCCTCACAGCAGCCAGACTCTCACTGGAAACTCCCTCCCTCGGGGTGAACAGGAAGGAGGAAAGACCTAGTAATGGCCATGGAGGGTTGCTTGCCACTTGGACAAGCTGGGGTGGGGCCGGGGGTAGGCAGTCCTCAGAGATGCACCTTCAGGACAGAAGTTAGGGATCTGGGTCTTTCTATAACCAGCCACGTGACCTCTGGGCAAGCCCCTTTCCTTCTCTGTGCCTCAGTTTCCTCACTTGTGAAACAGGGTCGACCTCTCTGCCCTACCTGCTTCACAGGGTCTTTGAGAAGAAGGCGCTGTACAGATGTGAGCAGCAGTAATGAAGGGTAGGGGCCTGGAAGGCCTGGGAGTTGAGTGGGCACAGACGGGGTCAGAAGCTGCTTTTTCCAGCGGGGTGGGCATCTGCCTTGGACCCAATGGTAGAACCCAATACCAGGCCCCACGCAGTTCAAAGCTCCCACCAGTGTAGCTCTTCCCTCTGGCCAATCAAAGCTGTTTGCTGCTTTGAAATGAAAATCCCTCACTCCTACTTTGGAGACTCTTATGGAGAAACTGCCAATTCCAGTTTCCTTCTCTCTCCTCTTTCAACTCTATAATTCACCTCCTTCAGGAAGCCCTCCCAGATTAGGCACATCCTGTCTCAAAAACTCTTTTTTTCACAGCATAACCCCAACATTTTAGTTAACTCTTGGAGGCAACGGCCACAGATTATATCTTCCTATGGCTAGTACTTGGTACACAGTAGGCACTCAGGAAATAACTATTGGTTAAATATGTACATATTAGACTCTGATAATTAGAATATTGGATCAGTTCACAATTGTTAAAATTTCTGTTGTTATATATTTAAAGACTTAAGAACACTTTACTATGCACTAGAGACTCTTGACGTCCCACATGAAACTAGAAGCCCCAGTAGGCAGGGGCCATGTCTCTCTTTTCTTGTAATGGGGTACACAACCCGTACCCCAGGTTGTGACCAGGCTAACTCCATTCAAGCTCCTTGGTTTAATCCTGCTGCACCATCATCAGACAGTGGGGCAGGGAAGCACAGTGGTTAAGAGCAAGGACTTTGGCTTTTGGATCCGGGCTCAGACACTAATCAGCTAAGCGATCTTCAGCAAGTAACTGTTTGAATCCAAAAATCAGAAAAATACTCATCTCACCCAGTTGTTGTGAAAAGCAAAAGAGAAAATGCAAGCAAATCATTAGCACAGTGGCTGGCACATATTAAGTGCTAATAAATCAGGGTTTGTTAGTATTACAAGCCTTGGCTCCTGATCCCAGCTGCAGCCTGCTACATAATATTATCACCCACATCCTTTCTCCTCAGTTCAAACTTGTACATTGCATTCTGCAAAACAAAAAGGCAAAGAAAACTCAGGCAGACAATGAGGAATTACTCAGAGAAGGGGAGCATCTGTACAGTGCACGTTAACCCTTCCTCGGGTGGCCAACTTGGCCAGCCACCTGCATCACCACTCCTTCCTGTAAGAGGAGCCCCACCATTGGTCTTTCTGGGTTAATCTTCCCTCCCTAGCCAGTCAGCCTCCAGGGGTAACAGAACTCCAACTACATTCATTGAGTTGAATTAGAACAGTGAACCCAAGCCACTCCTGTTGTCTATTTTGAACTAGATACTAAAGGCTGCTGGTGTTTCTTAACAAATCTCAGTGTAGGGGAGCCAGGTTTAGTAAATAAAAACAGGATGCCCCACAAACTTTGAATTTCAGGTAACCAATGATGAACTTTTTAGTATTGGCATGCCCCATGCAATATTTGAGGCACGCTAATACTAAAAAAATTATTTGTTATTTATCTGAAATTCAAATTTAATGGAGCATCCTATTATTTTACCTGGAAGCCCTAACCAGGTAACCCTACCCAAGGGCACAGAGTAAAGATTAAAATCTTCCCTCTGCTCTACCCTAATTCGAACCAGCCAACCTAGAAGCATTTCCGCCTTTCGGGCCCCAAGCAGAGCAGATGAGATGAGATAAGTGGGAGCCTTTCCTGAGCTGCCGAGTCCACCCACCTGCCTTGTCCAAGTGCCCAGCACAGAATCAGGCACACAGTAGGTGCTCACAGTACATTCCTCATTTATTTCAGGCTGCTTGAGCTCTAGAGCTGGGCCCAGTAGGGAGTGTGAATGTGAGGGGCCAGGCCAGCCTTCACTGCAGCAGTCTAAGAACAGATGGCTAGGGTGGGGGCGGGGAGGTCGCACCACCCACTTCCTGGGGTTGTTTTGAATCTCAAATAAGAAAATGGCCAGGGATATGTTTTGTAAATCCCTGGGCAGCACACAGGTTATTATCGTGACCTCTGAGTGGCCCATTTTACTCCACAGGGACCTAGAAGCACATGGCAGAGGAAGCCAGTGCCTCCGGACACTGCAGTAATAACTGTCCAGCACTTTGTCATTTGCCAAACACGTTCACATCCATCCTCTCTAGAGGCCTCGCCACAGCCCCACGACGTGACGGAGGTTTCCTGGACCATTTTCCAGAGAGTGGTCAGGGCGGTCTTGCCCTGAAGTGGCGCCTGGTCCAACAGGCTGGGCTTGGGGGTCCCACCCGTGAAGGGGCGGGGGCAGAGCCTACCTTCTGGGCCTGTTGGATCATCTGCCTGACCACTTGCTTGAGGTGGGGCGCCTTCTCCTCCTTGGGGGGGTGGGTGAAGAGGGTGACACGGCTCACGCCGCGGAAAAAGCCCGTGTCGGTCCAGCCCAGGTCCAGCGGGGGCACCTCGGTGTCGGAGCGGTCGGGCCAGTAGGCGAGGGACCCATTGGGCTCAGCCGGGGCCTTCGGCGGGGCCTTGGCCTTGGCCTTGCTCTTGCCCCGGGAGGGGGCGAGGTCCTCGTAGGGGCTCCAGGCGGTGCGGAGGGCCTGGCGCTCCTGGCTGGACAGGAAATCCCGCAGCCGCTCCTTCTTGACCCCCTCGCGGTAGGCCTGCTCGCCGCCGCCCAGCAGCGCCTCCAGGGCGATCCGCCGCCGCTCGCAGTAGTAGAAGGCGGCCTGCGCCT